TATATATATATATATATATATATATATATATACATATATATATATATAAATTAAATCTATATCTCGAAATTTTGACTAACTAAGTGATTGTGTGACATAATTAATAATTAATAAGAATAAAAGCAAGCATATCGGTTGATTGACATTACGAAGAGAATTTCACTTTGTATGAAAGTAAATGTATTCGAGGATACTTGTCTGTGCCATTTTATTTACTTTATTGTCATCGTGTTAAATTATCACAATTTCGACACTGTCTTACATGATTCAGCGACTCTACGATCATTTTATGATCTAGTATAACTACTATTGAACTAACAATAAGGTTAATTTTTGTACGGAATTATGATGCATCTACCTCATACATTTTTAACTTGTAATTCACGTAATATGATTTGCATGATGTGGGTTCGAAAGAATCGTTTGTTTTTAAATTATTTGCTTTTTTCCATAAATTAATTAAATTAATTATTTGAAATTTCATTTTACAAAAATTAATAGAGAAATATGGATATAATTTGATATTCGATTTATGTATAATACAATTATTTATTTTCAATCAATATATGATTATTCAAATTACTTAATACTTATCATTATATTAAATAATTTGATTTCGTCTTTTAAATAAATTTCCAAAAATCGAATTGATAATTTATAAATGTATGCTTTGTATTTGTTGTATTAAAAATTGTTGGAACGATATAAAACAAAGAAAAGCGTAGAAAAAAGTAAGATAACAAGATATTCCTTCATTTAAAATAAAATTGACTGTTTTGTATGAAATATAATCTGAGTAAAAACTCAACTTGCATTTTGAACATTGTGTATTTTTGGTAAATAAAATTATGTAAATAAATGATCAAAAACATTGTTTATCAAGTATTTATAGCCATAAATCTATAATCTAACAACCACAAATGTATAAAATATACATACACTATCTAAATTTATTTAAAATCACTCTTACAAAAATTTCTATTTTTTCTTCCCTACATATACTATTACATTCCACACAATGATATAAATCATTATACTTTGTACATTATTAAATCAACTTTAACAAAAGTGAAAACGAAGTCCCACGAAAATGAAATTTAGAATCTTTCATTTTCGAATAGCACGACGTACGGTGCAGAATTTGACGGAACGGAAAGGCAAAAGTTGATGCCCGTCGTCTGCCGCTCGTTCGAAAGATAATTCGAAAAAGAAACTTGGAGGCGCGGTTGGTTTACTTATGGGGCACTGCGTTACGTAATTTATCGCGCAGAAACTCGCTTCTAAAGCGGGCAGAGGGAAGAGAAGCGGTGCATATGGCAGAAAGATCAAACGGGGGTGTTGGAAGAAAGAAAAACGATGAGATCATCTCTGGTTGCTCGCATGGAGAGTTGACCGTTTCTCCGTACGCTGTTGCGCGCAGTCAGTACCGGTCGTGCGACCGATTTGGAGGGTTCTTTTGAACAGTTCCGAAAACGGGCCGAGAAAGGAAGAAGTGTAACGCCGGCAACAAGGGAAAGGAACGATAGGTCGAGGTACGTGAAGTATCTTTATTGCACGGGCAGGTGTGCGCACTTGGTGCGACCGCTTTACGGTTTATAGGCATATGCACCATCGTGCGCGTACCATCGCGATTACACGATTTCCGAAAATAAATACTTGGGTTCGAGTGTGTAACATTGAAATCGATAATGTTATTTCATTTATTCGAAGAAGAATGTTTAAAATGTAGAAAATTTTCATTGATATATATATATATATATATTTTTCTATTCCTTTTTTAATACGTTTTGGATTTTGTTTTTTTTTCAATTTTAATTATACATATAGAGATTATTTTGTAAAAATCAATGCAAAAAAATGAAACGTTGTCACGTTTTTTGAGATTTTTGAGACAGGATAAGGATTTGATTATAATTTTATTTATCATGAAATATATTCACGAGTATTAAAAGTTGGTAATTGGTGATAAAAATTCATGTTAAAGCAAAAATGTTTAATATTGTCAAGTATATTGTAAGTGTGAATATAACGTAATAAGGATCGTATGGTTTTATTAGAAGTATATAAAAAAGACTTTGGAAATTTTGTTCAGAATTTTTTTACGATTTATAATATTGTTTCAAGAAGTTAATTTGATAATTTTCTAGGTTGGAAGTTATCGCAAGAATGAATGAATGTATTTATATTAAGTGTACACATGAATGTTATAATTTGTTACATGAGTAACAGATTTCTCTTCGATGTCTAGAACATTTTTCCATAATTGATTTTCAAAATTAATTTTAGTTTTGATTACTTTTCATTAGCTTTATAAAATAATAAATTATTAACAACTATTTAATAACATTTCACGATAATCAATACATGAATTACTAAATATTATTTAAGAATTATTATTCTCCTTAAAATAATTTCATATAAATATATTCGAATTCTATTTTAAATTATCGATTTAATTTTCTTAATTATTGTTAGATAATGCTAAAGTGATCAAAATATTTTATATACTATTTATAGAATGTACACTTAAGATAAAGTCAAGCCATTCAAATAAACATAAAATTATAAAATTAATTCTACGATACAAAGAAAGAAAATATAAAAATTCCCCATTTTATTAAAACAATACTATTAAATTCCTTTACGCGGAAGACATTAATAAATATCTAATTAAAATCATTGAGGGGAGGAAGTTGCTTTGAATCTGTTTCTGTAATTAAATAAATAGGAGCACTTTAATGTGTCTATAAAACGAGCGGGAATTATACTTTGTCTTGGAATATACACGCTTTATTAGTGGGCGTTTGTCACAATTTTATCTTGTCGCAAACTCCTCGGAAATTGTCCCTTTTAGAACGGAAATCAAACATCCTCTTTCCAAAGAGAAGAAAAAAAAAAAAAAAAAACAGATATTGTCACAATATTCGATAACGTTACACGATTAATTTTATGCGAATATTTTTATTCATTTTCCATCAAGTTTATTAAATTTACCAGCAAAGTAAATCATAAAAAAAGAAATTACCAAAAAAGATCATAGAAGAGAAGATTATAAAAACCTTCCTCCAAAACAAAACGGAAGAACAATATTTTAAATGTCGCACAATTACGTAAAAAATTTAAAAGCGTTATTTCACAGATTGAATTGCAAATATGTGCCACATAGAAATCTAAGATCTCGAATTTTTGCCGTATCATGACATACGATCCAAACCAATTTCACGACGACCAAAGCAAAAAAAAAAAAAAAAAAAAAAGAAGTTTTCATGAAATAGCCATAAACCATTGAAATATTGATTTTCAAAGACGAATCGCAGATAAGGAATAAACTCTATATCCTTTTCAGTTTCATCGACTTCTTGTTCAAGAGAAACAAAAAAAAAAAAAACAGATATCTTTTATCTCAAATAAGATACAAATAATAATACGCGAAGGTTTCAAGATTTAAATTATTATCATCTCTTCCTCGTTTGCGTTGAATGTTTTCATCGCGAAAATATAGGAAAATGTAGAAAATAGAGTAATTGTATAAAAGATATACGCTAAAAGATATGATGCTTGGAATGACGACAATTACATAATTTCGTGGGCGCTGATCAAAGGAGAGATAAAAACAGGGCCGTTCGCGATTTCTGCCGCTCGCCTCCACGCTCTTCATAAACCGTATTGCTGGTTCTTGTTGTTGCGACATACTTGCGTTATACTCTCGTTTTATCAAAGGTCGTTCGTAACATCTTTCGAAAAATCTTTTGTGAACACATTCATTCTCTTCCTTCATTATCGTTCCAAAAAGATCGCAGCATTATTTACATATACGATATATTCGAAATTAGGATAAAATTTTTAGAAAGCGTATAAATTATAATGTTTTTAGCCTCTACACTGATATGCGAGGCATAGCTATGCACTCAGGATTAATGTCAATTTTCGTGGAAAAGGCGAATAACGAATACGTTCGTTCGAGGAATTAACGCCTACCATGTGTACGTATACGCAGAACTGTTTAGAAGAACTGTTTTGTTTCATTTCAGAGGAAGAAGGTAACTTTATACCTGTATAATTTTTTATTTCTATCATATTTGCACTTAAAAGAACTTAACTTCTTGAAAAGAATTTCGTAATATTGATGATATAAGTAACAATTTGAAAAAAAGAATTATGAATATGAATCTGTGCATAGGAGGAGTTTCTTTCTTAAGAGAATAAGTGTTAATAGTCATCACGTAGATGTAGATAATAAATTCGCATACTTTTTATTTAATACAACGTGCAATTGATAAAATCTAGGTTTACGATAAAAAGAATAATGGATTCAAAGAAAAAGCTGACGTGTAACGGAAATTTCAAATGCTGCAAATATAATCAAACTGAATGAACCTTACGCATAAACTAACCGAGCTATATTTAACCCAGTAGGAAGCTAGAAAAATGTGTTTTAATTTCCTACGAATCATTGTACAAGGACTATATTTTATAGATATTTAACTACTGTATTTTATTACAATCTTTTCTCGAAGATGATTCAATGTTCGTTATTTTTGGAGGGAATTATACACAATGTGTATTCAATTCAATTAAATTCTAATCTAATTGTATCACAATTAACTTATTGTTACGCACGTATTAACTATTTTTATTTATTCTTTACTTTCATTCTTCGTAGTTTCATACAGTTTAGAATCAAATTAACTTATTACATTTCTCAAAGACAAGTAATTCAATTGATTAAAGGATAATTAAAACTGTTTCTTTTAAAACTGGGAGGAAGAAAATTGAAAACGCAAACGAAGAAATTTCATTCAAACATAAGTGGGCGTCCATACTTAGCCGATGAGTTCAACGTCGACCTTCATTTCTCGTCATCAATTCAAAGGAAGAGACAATAACTTAAATAGGTTTTATCGTTCCTATTTGTAGCAAGCGTTGTATTTACACGCGTTGGAGTAATGAAGGAAAACGGTATTGCGTGCTACGCGTTCCAACTTTACGTTACGAACATTCGTAAAGAATCGTGATTTCCAAGTATCTGGGTTATCGCTTCGTTGCTCCTATTAAGGTCTCAGAGATTTATCGTTGACCCAAGCTGGATTGACCGTTCGTGCGCGTTATTATTATTGGGAATTTTCGAAATTAAGACCATCTCTAGATTCTCTAGACGAACGATCCTCAATTGAGAGAGATCTGATTGTATGTACAGAGTATTGGAACAATAATTCTCCCATCACGGGCGAAGTTTATAAAACGAGAACAGGAATAACGGAAAGCCAATTATTCCTCATCGCTTTGCGTATTAGAAAAAGAAAGAGAAAGGAGAATAAAAAAGGAGGAGAGATATTTTAAGCATGTAATTAACGTTATTTAAAATTTACGTACACGCGTATTTAAATTCGATTCTTTGTCGCAGAGATCGCAATGCGGACGAAAGTGAAATTCCTCTTATTTACGTTGCTATTAGTGGCCCTTTTGGTGGATGTCTCGGTTCAACAACAGGTAAGTTAATCGTAGAATAAATACAACACTTTGTCACATCGCACGTCGTGACAGAATATATGAATTATTAAAGCAGTGAATGATTACGTCACTTGATAAAAACATTTATTTAAATAATAACGCGGATATCGGATAATTCAAGGTCCTCCATTTTTTCTCTCTCTCTCTTCTACTTGAAGAATGATAAATTTTTATTCGATTCGTTGCCAGGAAAAAAAGTAAATTATTTTGTTGGAACATATTGGGATTGCAGATTGATCGTTGTACACGATTATAATAATGTTATTATTGATTTTTAGCGACGAAGGAAACATCGTCGTCGCACGACCACGACCGAAGCCAGTATTCAAGATGAGGTCATGAACATGCTTGAGGCTGATGAAATAGCCGAGGAGGCAGCGGAGGATGCTGAGGTCACCGTCGAAGATGGCAGAAACGAGGTTGGATCGAAGCGTCAGAGTTTGCTCCGTTTGGATCCGTGCATGGATAAACACTGTGATGCTGGACGAGTCTGCAAGGTATGTCAGATATAACGAAATAATCTATCTGTTAAAAATGTATTCAGAGATTAAGATGTATTTATGTTTCGTTTCCTGAGAAAATCGATCGATCGAAGGATATTTTAAAAAATTATTTCAAAAGTAAATTCAAATAATCATCGTAAATCGTTCTTTCTTCCCAATATCTCGCAATTTCATTTAATGATAATTTCTTGAGAATTTCTATTCTAACATTGAGTAAGTGTAAAAGATTATACTTAAATAATTTTTTAATCAGGATTTTTAATGTTACGTTGGTTTGGAATATTATGTCTTTCTTTTGGAACAACGTTATTTCTTCGTTTCAGGCTATCGACGATGACACTGCCGAATGCGTTTGCATCGAGATATGCGACAAAGAGATCGATCCAAGGCGAAAAGTTTGCACTAATCACAATGAAACATTCGGAAGCGATTGCGAGGTCTATCAAGCGCGTTGTTTCTGCGACACCAACGATCCCAGATGCAGAGGCACTAAATATCAACACGTTCATGTCGTGTACTACGGTGAATGCCGACAGATGCCTGTATGTATTTATATATTCCGTTCTCATTGACCGAAGATATCAAAATGATAGAGCGAAAAAATAAATTCGTATTTTTTGCAATACGCTATAAATAAGTAAGAGAAATATTAAATATTCGTTGTTGTTGTTGTTGTTGCAATGTTTATATCATCATATGATATTAGTAAAATGTTTTCTAGTTATCAACCATTGATATAATGGAATACTATCCTATAATCAAAAGTATATCTTATCTATTGTGTATTATTGTTTTATTGGAGAAATGATTTCATTATAATGTTATATTTACGTTCTTATTGTTTTATATTACACAATTGAATTACTTAATCTCATTATCTGAGAATATGAGTTATGATGTGGTATATTATTATTAAACAAAGATAATATATAGAAAAAGATAAAGTAAAAAATTGTAGAAAACAATATATTTTTCAACATTAAAATTTTATTATTTATCTACATATAAAATTATAAAATTTGAAAAATTTCTACAAAATTTTTGCTTTTCTATATATAGGTATACAGTTTTAAACATGAATACATATTATATTTATATAAAATATTTTATTTGCAAATTAAAATTATAATAATTTATGATAATAATTTATAGGAGATATAGAATTTTTTATGATTAAATAAAATTTGTCAATTAAATTTTAGAATAATTAAATAGATCAGTGATTATATAAAAGATTCAGAAAAAATTTTCCAAGTTTATCATTTTTAACTTTTTATTTTATAGGAATGTAAATCAGAAGACATGGCCGACTTCCCAAGGCGAATGCGCGACTGGCTGTTTAACATTATGAGAGACCTTGCTGATCGTCAAGAATTACCATCCCATTACCTGAAAATGCAACGGGAAGCGGAAACAAATCATACGTTACGCTGGACTAATGCTGCCATTTGGAAATGGTGTGACTTGGATGGTCACCCTCATGACAGGGCTGTTTCCAGACACGAACTTTTCCCCATCAAAGCACCGTTAATGGCTCTCGAACATTGTATTGCACCGTTCTTAGACTCGTGCGATATTGATGGCGATCATAAAATTACCCTCATCGAATGGGGGAAATGCTTAGAACTTAATGAGGTAAACTTTCTTTTTTTATAAATAATATAATAGTATTATAAATTATAATTAGAATTCTTAAGTCTTTAAAATATTGTTTTTGGATAATTGTCCGTTATCTCGTACAAAATTCAATATTTAAATGTTTGATTATATTTTATTAATTATTGATAATCAGAAAATTTAAAACTAATTAAATAATTATTTTTTAATATACTGTATATGCATACTTTAAAATTTTACTGTTTTATTATTTTATCTAAATTTGACTTTTGTGTATACAAGATTTATTGTTATCTTCTACACTATCTTTGAGTACTTCAAGTGTTTTTACAAATAAAAATATATCGATTCAAAAGATGAATAAAATAAGTACAATAAATATATCTTAAATGCAATTAAAAGGAATAATTTTTAGAAATAGTGGTATTTTTAAAATTTAAAAATAATATTTTTTGTCTGCCAAAATATGTCGAACCGTCGTACCGAAATGATATTGATTCCCATTGTAGGAGGATTTGGACGATAAGTGCGATGAGTTGGCCGAAACGAAGAATTCCGAGCAATAATAACTATGATAAATTCCAATGATAAGCGGTGGTGGTTATGACCACGGGATATGTAAACGGATAGAACAAAAAGAAGGGTAAACATACGACGTAATGCACTAATGAAAGGGCGAGGAATGAGAAAAATGGCGGGAAAAGTTGCAAGTAAACTGCTGCACTCGGCAACGCGCATGTCTGCGCAGAGACCTCGTCGATATTGCAACCCATCCGTAATGGTCGTGCCAACCGCAGTTCTAGACAGTGCTCTCTAATAATATAGAGATGTGTACGCTAGAAATTAAATCGCGATAAATTCACAATAATTTTTTAAATATTTTGGAATTATTTGTTATCATATGATGGTTCAAATAGAAACGCGTTACACCTGCTCGTTTCCTCTCCCTATAGTATAATCTTGATATTATCCTCGTAGCAACAACGTACGTATTTTCTATATATATACATATATACATACATACCTTTTGTATAAATTTATTATGTGACTGCCTTTCTATCAATAAAGAGTGATACAGTTTCTTTCATCTGCGCAATACTAATCCATTATATATTATGCTTTATGATGTCAACGGTTAAATCAAAGAAAATGCAAATGTTTCATTTATATTTCAGGAATAATTTAGTTTCTGTAGATAATGAAGATCGAAGTATTAAAGTTATTTCATCTTTCGTGTTAAACAGATTCCTTTATTACTTTTTATTTTATTCGATAATAATATTTAATGATATATATTGCTTATATAATATTTTTTATTATTTAATTATAAAAAATATGAATATACATATACATTATAGATCTATTAAAGTTTCGATCTAAAATTAAATTTTTGATATTATTTCATTTTGTTATACTCGTATTGAAGGAAAGAACAAATTATTGAAATTATAATCTAAAGTTTATTAATTATTTTAAAATTAATTTTAAAATAACCAGTATTGCATCGTTGGCATGTTGAATTTTTTAAAAAGGCAATTACTTTTTTACGGTAATTAATATAAATATATTTGAAAAATTATATTTTTACATATTCTATTATCTATACTATTGGTCATTTTATCGAAAAATATATTTTAGAAGTGAAATTTAAATTATTTAATTATGTATGTATAATATTATCTACTGGTGAAGTAGTAGATACGAGAAAGTTATTATATAAAAAAATAAATTGATTCTTTTTTTCAATTTTTATTAATTTTATATATATTTATTATTTATAACATATAATTACATTTCTTGCTCATTGTTATAGAAAAAAAATTTCATATATATATATATATATATCATATATATATATATATATATATAAAAATAAAGAATAGAAAGCTTGAATTTAAAATTTTAAATGAAGCCATTTTGATATAGAGATAATGAAATATATGTAGAAAAATATGAAATTAAAATTAAGTGATCATTGAATCTAAAATTATAAGAGTTTAGGAAGTGTCTGATAAGTTGAAAATAAACGGTAAGTGGCCGACGTGAATAATAACGCAGTGTACCTTAGACAGTATGGAAAATTACTCTGTGTATACGATGCAATGTTCAAGTGATACAAGATAGAAACGTTAGTCTCCTACCAGAACCATAGTAACGAATCAAGACCAATAGATGGCGAAGGGGCATTTCATTGTGTCTCTATAATTGGTGTGTTTTAGTCACGTGGGGTGATCGCGGGACGCGCCGACAGCGCCAAGCGTATTTGGCGGGACCGCGCTTAGACGGCGTCGTCTGTGCTTCAGGCAAGTCTGTCGTGTAGTGAACCGCAAAGGCTCTTGTCGGATAATGGTGAGTATCCGCAAGTTTTCAGCGGATCCTTTAGCCATCCATATTTTCTAATCATATCACCATATTCTATGATGTTCATACTTTCTTCTAGCGAAATTTCGTGCTTGTATCTTGCAAATTAACCATGATTTTCGTTCTGAATAGGCTGGCGGAAAGGCGGGCAAGGACTCTGGTAAAGCGAAGGCGAAGGCGGTCTCTCGTTCGGCGAGAGCCGGCTTGCAGGTGAGTTTATTGCTTGCTGCTCAGTTAAGTCAAATGCGTAGAATATAATTTTGTTAACATTATTTTCTGATAAATAACATTTACATGATTATTTTAGTAGATTTTAATGATAAACAGGTTAAAACATTGTGGTTGGCGCGAAAAACCGAGGCGTTTTTAGATACCTAATGAAAAATTCATTTTTTTGAAGTTTTTGTGATTTTTGTGTGAATAAAATATGTGAAAGTGATCTATTTAAGTTCAATTTATGCATATTGTGCCAAATAGTTAAATAATACTTCGAAAAAATCTATTATTTTTTGAATTAAAGTTATGGTGATTACGTCTAAGTTCGGAAGTTTTCAAACGAGACGGTTGAGTTTGTACTACACCCCCCCTCCTCTCATATCTTTCAATTCAGTTACTAATATGACTTTTATTGAAATATATTTTTTTTTAATAATTACTAAAAATAACTTAATACGAATCATCGTAATTATTTTCGTTTCAATCATATTGTGTCAATTCTGTCAAGATAATTTAAACTGACAGTAAATGTAACTTATTTTTGTATTCAATCACGCTTATCTATCTTGAAATTTAATTAATATTAATATTAATATTTACATTATATTTATATTGAAATTATATCTTTTTATTTATTTATTTTAATATTTAAATAATATAATAAATAATTTGATTTGAAAAATTTCATTTTTTATGCAAGAATTTATATGCAAACAAACAAACGTGACGATAATTAAATATAATACTTGATATAATTAAACATAATATTTTATAAAAAAAAATATTTTTTTGTTCATTATTCATATTAATTCAATGTTATATATTAATAGTTTCTTTCGGATAATTATTTATATACAAATAAATAAAACACAGGGCGTTTACTAATGAATGACGAAACCACGTACTAAACTGGAAAGCTCGGGAAAGCCGAATCATCGTGTGTCGCTCGATATTCGTTGTATTAAAAGAGAATCGAGTTATGTATGCTGTTCTATGTGTGTAGATAAAATTGGTTTTTGTTTTAGAAGAATTGGATATATGATGAATTTATAAATAATTATTGCGGGAAAAATGCTAGAAACATATAATATTACGAAAAATTGTGTCATTTCTCGTCGTTCGATATTTGTTATACGAAAAGCTGCTGACGCTGAGTGACCTCATGTTATTTGAACGGACATTATACATGATGCGTCCTAACCCAAAAATATTTACCTTGCCACGAAAGCAAAATTACTCAGACATAATAATTTTTACCTAATACTAATCATAGTACGAATGTTTTTTCCAGTTTCCGGTTGGTAGAATTCACAGGCATTTGAAAAACAGAACCACAAGTCATGGTCGAGTCGGTGCTACAGCAGCGGTATACAGTGCAGCTATCTTGGAATACCTCACTGCTGAGGTGAGTGAGAATATATGTGAAAGAAGAAAGCATTCGCAAAACAAAGAGAGAAAGACAAAGAAAGAAAGGCAAATACGCACATAGGAAGATCAGCCGTTATAACCAGGACTATATGCGTTGGCATCACTAGCGACTGATGGCGTCACTAACGCCAAGCATCATGGCCGATTTTTCCCGCCTTTTCGTCAACCGTAGGCAAATAAGGAACAACATATTTTGCTTATCGTGTTATATAGAATTTCACTTTTATCTTTTTCATTTTTTTTTTAAAAGGAACTCTTTCTATTACAGAAATATTACCATATAATTATATGATAAAAAATATTTTTATAGATAAACAATACTTGTATTTATAATTTATAATTATTTTTGCGATTTTAAGATATTTCTAATATTATTATTATTATTATTATAATATTAATAAACATTCATATGCGAACATTTTTTATACATTCTTACGTTTTCATATTTTTTTTCTTTATATATATATATATATATATAAATATAAGATATTGTTGTTTTGTAGTGTGCTAATAGTCTCACAAAAAGTATATATTATTATATATATTATAAAATAATATTTCGTATGTTTTAGGTTCTTGAATTGGCAGGAAATGCATCAAAAGATTTGAAAGTCAAACGTATTACACCAAGACATCTTCAGCTTGCTATTCGTGGTGATGAAGAATTAGATAGTCTCATTAAAGCAACTATTGCAGGAGGAGGTACATATTTTCTGATTATTCATATGCTTAAACAGTTATAACAAATCAAATTTAACCTATTATTTTTCTCTTAAGAAATAATTAATTTTGATTTTCAAGTTGTGTATATAAAATTTTAAAATTATTTTATAATTATTGGATATTTGGAATTATTAATTATTATTATTATTAATTACTTTAATAATATTATCAGGATATACTTAAAGATTATTTATCTAATAATTGCAAGAAATTTTATTCTTGTTATAAATAAGTAATAGAATTTTATATAATATATATATTGATAATTCAATTTAAGTAATGATAATTTTTTTTATTTTAATTTTATTTTGTTACAGGTGTTATTCCACATATCCACAAATCTTTGATTGGAAAGAAAGGTTCACAGAAACCAGCATAATTATTTAGTGATTCATTTAAAAACATTTGAAGCTATGTAGACAAAACAGATGCGAAACAGCAGAGTGATTGTTGACAAAGTGTACCTACGTTACTAAATTGATGACGAGACTGGCGTGATATACATACGTATATATATATATATATAATTATATATATATATATAAAGATAAATATAGATATATATAAATATATATAGATATATAGATATATAAATAAAACAAATATTGATATAATTTAATATAGGTAATGAGAGCTAAAGAAGAAAAAAATTTTCACTATATAATTGGCATTTGGAAAAGTTAATAATATAGGTCTAAAAATTTTAGTGTACGCTACACTGTAATTAATTGACGAGCGATGCGTTGTAGCATGGCTTGTTCAAAACTGTAAAAGTCTTGATACTGTGTGCGGATACTAAATATTTTTAAAGTTGGAGTATTTAAAAGCTTGGATGTGTCGTAAAATACTTTTGAAAGAAGAATTTCTTTTGTTATCTTTGTCTTTATCAAAGCTATTTGAACTTTATCTCTTTAGACTATTGCTCTTAAAAATATTAATATAAAATAGCATAACAATTAAAAAAAACGTGTAATATGAGCGAATATTAATAGAAATTTCCTAAATTTTTTTATTTTTAATTTTTTAAATTTTTAGTCTACTTACATTTTCTCACAGTAACAATAAGAATAGTATAATTATAATTATAAATAAAAATACGTACTCATTCTTGTTATTAAATACTCTTAACTATCTTACAGCAGTATACAGTGTGCATAACACCTTTAGATTAAATTTTTAATTTTGGACACTTTATATTCTAAAATTTGTATTGCCAAATATGTTTGATTAAATTTTTAAAGTTTTCAGTCTCTGTAACATTAATGTAGGTATATAAGATTATAGTGAGAAATAATAGTTCTGTGAACATTGTTTCCATTTTTCTAATTTTATGAAAGTATTCTCATCTGAATCACATTTAATAAAGTTATGCAATAAAGTGTAATTTGTGGCATAGTGTATTTATGCTCACGATTATGAGACTGGAATCTTTGAAACTAATAGGCTTTTACTCGTGTAAAGGTAAAAGAAAAATATTTCGGCATTGCAAAGCCTTTGATGTAATATATAATCTTTATTCCAGTAGTGTTCAATCAACGTGAAATCCATAATAGAAATATTGAATCAATCTAAAACGAAACAATGTATGTTTTTAGTTAAAACAATTAACAATTCTTCTTTGATTCTGTTCATATCATTTTTCATTTTATTCATAAAACTATTGTTACTTGTGTCATTTAGTGTAATGTTCGCTGTACGTACGGTATTACACCGTATAATAAATACCAGCCATATGTAAAATGTTCATTTTCATAATAAAGAGCAATTTTACTATTAAGTATCGTTTAATCACTAAAAATTATTGAAGTAAAGTAAAATATGCTTATGTATTTAGTATCTTTTTCTAAAAATTGTTGAATTTAAAGTTCATTATATCGAAATTATCTAATATATAATCAAGAGGCTGTAACAACGAATAATTTTTATAACTATTATTGTATTATTGTACACAAATATTTTCATATTATAAGTAAACAAATTATAAATACATTTTTTTGTTTTTAGAAAGTAGCGTTTTTTAGTTAAAATTTAAAACTATATTAGTTCTGGTGTTGTAAAGGTATACACATATATAAATAAAAACTTTTTCTATTATTAAATAATAAAAAAAAAGGAAATCAAAGCTATTTAAAAATTAATCATCTTATAGTAATGTATAAACATAAATATTATTTATTTGTAAGAAGCTTTATAATGTACGCTATTTTACAAATATTCACAGTACTGTAATATAAATATTGTTATTTACAAAATAAGATGATAATTAGGAATAATTATTTTTTTCATTTTTTTTTTTTTTAGTCCGTCTTCAAATTGTATCAACATATTCACGTTCAGTGCTGCCATCATACTGGGAGCGGTCTCCTATTACTTTTCCAGTTCCCCCACCAGCAACCAATCCCATGGCTCGTTCAAAACCTTGCGGCTTTTCGCCGAGTCCGCTCATAGTGGGGTACAGTGTAGCTCCTTGCATTTGTGTAGGAGTGAGATAGCAGCAAGGAAACCGCCCCCCTCCCTACAAAGCCGGTCAGAACCTCAGTCGCCTTTCACGAGTTCGGTAGATTGGGCGGCTTGTGTCGTGAACATAATTGTAAACGTGAGCATCAACCGTTTGATACATAAATTCCATCCGTAGCAAGAACGAAGAAGCCCGTTTATCGACTTTGCAACAGGGGACAGGATCTCTCGACGGATCGTCCTCGGATCCGTTGTGAGAGAGCCGCAAGATAGTGCAACACCGGTGACAGAACGCGTGGATAATGTCAAGCAGTGTGGTTGTATGATCAAGATTTTGCATAGTATCTTCGTCTCTGCGGATATCGGAATTTCGGACGTGGAAAAATCAGTGAAGAGAACTTGTTTCCGTTTCGCTCACGTTGCGTTGTTGCCGGTGTTTATTCTTTCTAATCGAATTTTTACGCGCGCGAAAAGGAACAATCGATTCGAAAATCAGTGATTCGTAATTATAAACGTACCATATTTTATTTCGAAACAGTCTTCTTGGTTTCGTGACAAGAGTCAACGGTATGATATCCTTGGCATAACTTCCCACGTAGAACACCTGAATCAAGATTCTTCAAAGATGACGAGTAGACACGCGGAACAAATTTTTATTCGTGACCGGTAAGTCTTTTCTCCATTTTCATAATCTTTGCGTGACATTGCTTTTACTTGATCAAGCTGTTAGTGAAGTTATTACCTTTATTCTGTTACGGTGAAAGGAAGATCTCGGTGTTGCATTGTGGTTCACTATGAATTTACTAACGTCATGTTTCAAAGAAAACGTTTTATAGAAACTTTGGAATTGTCAATTCAGTGAAAATTTACTTACGCTTTTCGTATCATTTCACTGATTTTATGAGCTCCATTATTCATTGTTATTATTGATCACGGAAAATTAATCATACAGTACATGTATGTATGTATTTGAACACTAGTTGCTTCAACGAAGGTCAATGAACAGTATTGACACCTGGTTTCCATGTTTTTACGATCGTTTCCTTTCAAAATGTTATAAATGCGATAATACGCGATATATACTTCTCAGCTATTGCTTTGCAGTGTATCCATTTATGAGTATTCATTTTTTTTTGGAATCTTCTTAAAGGGATATTTCCTTTCTTCCATATTTTATCTAAAAATTAATATAATTATTCATTTGAATTAATTATTAAAGAACATGTACAATAAATAGTAATTTTTTTATATAGTTGTTAGGATTTGAAATTTATTGAATTATAAGAGAACAAATCATGTATACATATTTATTCATTTGATCGATTTATTTCGTGGTATTTTTAAAGCACATTTCTTTAATTTTATCAAAAATATAAAAAAAAAAAAACAAAATAAAACAAATCAATACTATATATATTAGCATATATATTATATTTCGGACTAATCAGAGTAATTTTCATTTTTATATTTATCTATCATTATTTATTTTAAAGAAAAATGTAGATTTTTGCGTGATTCTATTCTTGTGATTCTATTACATGATAAGATTCGTAAAAAATTCATTGATTTCCATTATAGAATTATTTAATATTTAGTACTCAACATGTAAATACTATTAGAGATTAATACAGAACAAATTATTAGCTGTTTTATATTCCATTTTCAAAACAAATAATTAAAAATTCTAAATTATTTAAAATTTTTATTTAAAACTCTAAAAATTATTAAGAGAACTTAATTTAAATATATAAAGAAAGTATATTTTATAATAGATATACGTAATTATTTGATAATTATATAAGAAATGTAGATTATCTTTGACACAACAAAATTATCGAAAAAATAATCGAAATTAAAAATTTAATTGTCATTTAATCATGATATCAAAATATCAAGGGAAAAATGAATTGAAATTCCATGATTAAACTCCAAATCTTTCGTGATAATCACAAATCATTATTATTGTTTATTTATTTCTTTTAATATTAGATTTAGAATTTGATTAAAACTTTGATTTAAATATTTGTAACATCATCATTTGATGAAATATGAAAAGAAATAATATAATATTCGTAAGTGAACGGCCATCAGCATCAATTGATTCTTGAGATGAACTCGAGACAAAAAAGATCGTTTACCGATCTTTGAAATGCGGCAAATCTTTCGACTTTGCAAAAAATAATTATTTCTTGGACAAAGAAATCCTATCATATGAAAATTATTTTCTTTTATCCATTCGTGTCAACTTTATTTGATAGATACACTTCACAATAAAATATTCTTTTCTTAATAATATACAAACAAACTTATTGTTTGTAATGAAAAACAAGTATGATGATCAGTTAATTTAAGAAATAAATGCATAAACTTATATTTTTGAGAAGACAATAATTTTTATCCAATATAATTAACTGCATCTCAGTGTAGAACTCTCCTCCCTTCCTTGTAAAATCAAATTTTTATTTATCACATAATCATTAATGATTCTTTTTATACCGAGATATACTCGCTTCGAATTATACTCTAATATCATACTTATCATGAAGAATATCACACATTTTCAAACGTAAAAGATACCAAAAAAAAAAAAAAAAAAAAGAAGACCGATAACTTCATTACATCAAAATCGCCATCCTTCCCTTTGTCCCGGTACTCGAAATTTATCCGAAAGATGGAACAAAGGCATGGAGAGTACCGACGAATATTTCAAAGGAATAGAAGTCGTGTAGTCTCTTCTCCTCAAACAAATGGTAACCTTATTTCAAAAACCGAATTAACTTCCAGATCTAATACGTTCGAGGCAAGTTTTACCCGAACTTGATGTATATTCATGAAGTTTATTTTCAGTCTCGATAAGCGGAATATACGGTTAATTTCGCTTGAGTTTTCGCTGCGAAAAACGTTTGAAAAATTTGATATTTTTTTCACCTCTCGGTAAAAAAGAATGTTTTTCTTTTAATCCAAATACCGGTACTTGGAACGCAAGGTCGGTTGATCGGCGACGTCATCGAGGCGATGGCAAATGTTGCGGTGAAAGTTTATCCCGCGTGTGGTAGGGATCTCCGCGTTCATGCAGGAATGAACACGGAATCGTTTCTTACGTGGAACGCCTTCGCCACGGCTTGAGAATTTCACGTGGGTATAACCACGGAAAATAATTCCTCGTTATTATTATTTAACGTGAACTCGAAAAGCACGGTTGCATGTCTGCTCGTTGCTTACTCGTTTTATATATTTTAGTTTTCCGCGTCGAATGATTCATTGTCGTGTTCCTTTGATTTAGTTTACCGTGGACACGTTCCTCTCCCCGACGATTTACGGTCGAGAGACCGTTGGACGGGTATTATTTAATTTAATTTCGCTCGAAACTCGATACGATTCCGTTTCAAAATTAATATCCTTTTGTCCTTTTATTGCCATCGTTATCTTTTCGTTTCGTTTGCGTGTCATCATTAGCATCGTGTTTTCCTCCTCGATGCCATTATATGGCGAGATAACACGTGGTACGAGGTTGTAAGAAGGATGCATTAATAGAATGCGTTACGATTTTTATTTATCTCCACTGGTAGAGAACGTAGATGGAAAAGTATAACGCAAAGATAAAGTGGAATTTTCGGATGCATAAAGTGATTCTCTCCCAAATGGAGTTTCAAAAGCAGTGCCGCTGTTTACACATTTTAGCCTCGTATCTTCGTACATACATACGCGATAACGTTACGAATTTACTAAGTTAATAGTAACGATAATAATAATAATATAGTAATAATAGTTATAGCTGTGTATGTAGCTGTTTCTATTGTCGTCGATTAGTCGAAATGGATGGAATGGAAAACGGTCGCCTCTTCGTCATTACACATCGTGAAAATCAAACAGTATCGTGATATATAAGCAATGATATTAGTTCTGGCTTTTGAATAAGGATTCGATGAATGACTTTTGAGAGTAAAACTCTTGAAGATTGAAAGTTGATCTTGAGAATATACGCTTGCAAATTGGCAACAATATCGAATTGTGATATTTGTGAGCATGTTTAATAATTTTTGAATTTTTAAATTTATTCGTAACAATTCCACGAAATAATTAGGTTTTTCAATATTTTGTCAAATACGTCAATAAAATTGATATATTTAGACACTATTCGATTTGCTCTTTGAATCAAACGACTTTTGTTAAAAATAAAACGACTTTTGATAACTTCAACTTCTTATTACAACGTTCTCTTTGAAAAGAAAGTACTTTGTACATCCATCATTGAACGCGATTCACTGTAAAAAGTTTAAGCAAGTCTGATTATAATAGTTAATACAATAATTATGAAATTTTTCACATCGTCAATTTCCAGATATTTCTTCAAAGATAGATTCAAAGAAAAAGAAATGGAATTAGCAAAAATTATTTTCTTATAGATGCGAAATACAGAATAAAACTTCGAATTTTTAAATTAATAAAATGAAAAGGTCATGATTTTTTTTTTTTTTTGATTGATACATATATTTTTTTTTTATAACGTAAGTGATTGTCGAGATGAATTCAACGACCTATTACACGATAAGGTTTAATGAGCGCGATAGCAATAGAGGAAAGCGAGAATATCGTATGTTTCGCGATTCGTTCGTTGATGAATTTTTAATAACGTTGACAATTTTCTTGATCCTTTTTGAATTTTCGAAAACTTTTTTGACAACTCATTTTCATTCATCCGCAAGACTTTTTTATTCATTGAACCTTATCGTGTCTCTTCGTGTGTCATTGAATTTGTCTCGACAATTGTTTATCACGAATTAAAAAAAAAATTTTTGTTCCATAACTGGTATTGCGAATTTATATAAATTTGCTCCGATTATTATTGGTATTGCGTAATATGAAACGATGAAACTCGCGTTTTTCTTTTTGTTTTTAATCTTTTTAAAACTTTATCGCTGGCAAGAAGAACACTGGGGAATTTATAAGGTGAACACCTTGTATAGTATTGCTTGTCCAGCAAGATTTCTCAAGAAAAATTTACGGTGTAACATACTCGTATCATTTTAACATACACGTACTTCATTATACCGAAACGTGAATGTAAATACAATGCACGAAGAAACGTATGTTGTTAACAAAAAAAAAAAAAAGAATAATGTAATAACGTAACGTTATTAAAATTTCTTGTTTGTAATTATTTTATCTCGTGCAAAAGTGCAAATTCTACGTAATATTGTGTATAAATATAATGAAATGATAAAAATTAGTATTAGTAAGTAAATTAGTACGTTATTCGTTATTTATCGAAATCCATAATCGTATAAGAGGTCACACTCACACTATCAGCTGTTTTCTCTCGCTTTCATTCATTGTTCTATGCACGAATAGTGAAACATTTTGAAATCGATGCTTAGGCAAGAGAAAAATTTTAACGTAATTTTAAATTATAAAATTTGGTAAAAAGAAAAATTCGCAAAATATACAAAACATTTTTGAAACGACAAGAAGGTCACAATTACATTTCAACATAACCGCATATTGTATAAATTCTACTCGTTTTGTTCTTTCCTCTCAACAAATTCTCCCTTTTTCAAATCTACAAATCTACGAACGATCAAAACTTCACTTTATTATTTACCAATCAAGAATCTCTTATTTTTCTTATTCCGAGAGACGAAATTATCTCGTTCTTGTTAACGTCCAGATCGTATGTATTCGTTTATTTCACTATAAGTTAAAAGTTAGAATCGTAGACAGGCCAAGATCCATAGTGTTTTTTCGAAAGATGTTCACGGGTAGGTCTGGTTCTCGATTCAGCGCGATCCGTTAGTAACTTACATCCTCTGGGTCATCGACCATACGATCGCATAGAGTAGAGGAGTCCATAAGGCTGACTCGTGCCGTTGAAACCGTATGATACTCCGCCAGATCCCCACCAATGTTCCTTCCTATCCGCGATAATATATAACGTCAGATGTCCTTTTTAGAAACCAGACGCCCCATCTAACTTCGCGGCTGGTACTAATTTCTCACAGGTGTATACACATTTTTATGGAAGCCTGTTCTTTCAAACCGCGAACTACTCCCTGGATGTGATAACTTTCGTTTCCTTTGCGCCGAGAAAGTAATCGGCGAATGGCTAAATTGACCTCTCGTAAAAGGGTGAAAAGTTTTAATTAAGGTGTCAACGAGAGTTGCATACTTATTTCGCACCGGTTGCAGGGGGAGGGGGGGGGTAAAAAACAGCGCGAATGTTTTCTTTTGTCCTGTCCTCTTGCGGTGCTGCTTCTATTGTAATTATTCCATTGTGCCACGTTTCCATCGTGATATTAAAATAAATTGTATTAAAACGAACTCTTCTTAACTTGGTAATATCTTATCTTATAAGGGGATATTTCGAGTAAAATATTCTTTATGGTAATGCTTTTATGCAATTATTAAAATTGGAATAGATGATGACTCTTTGGCTCTGGATATTCAATATTAGAAATTTTGAATTTAATTTTAATTGTTCATCGATCAAAGAATCGAGGTAATTTATATATTATGTATGTATTATAACAAATGGATATACGTTATTTTTAGAAAAAGTTTGGAAAAAGAACATTCACTTCTTCTTTTATCATCTTTGTCTCTTTTGGATCCATTCTTAATTTGTTGTACAGTTTCTCTTTTTTTTGCACAAGGTTTATTTTCCTCATCGGTAGTTTTGATTTAAATTTTTACAAAACATTTGCACGGTTTATTTTATCGAAGTTTAAATAAATCAGTTCTGACAATTAAAAATATTCTTAATTTTTAAAATATGTTTAAAGCGTGTTAATCATGTAAACAATGTTGTGCTAGATCAATGTGATGTGAGGTGATTGTAAATATAAAAAAATAATAACAATTTAAACTTTTTCTATATATATGGATGGAGAACACACAAAGTGGGAAAACAAAATGGAAATTAGAAGCAAATATTTAACCGATAGAAATTCTGGAAAAAATAAAAATATTTTCTATTTAATATTCTACGACTTTTCCACGTATAATTGCTTTTATGCGTGTTGACATTAAAATTACTAAATGTATATTTATCCCAGATTTTGCTCTTTCGTTATTTTCTCTTTGATAAAAAAAAAAAAATATCATTTTCTTTCTTTAATTTATCTCGTATCAGACCGGTTTCAGACGTACTCTTACATTTATATCATATTTCTTTAAATTTTAAAAATTACGGTTATTTTTTTAAACTGCATTTTATATACGGCGTTCGTTGAACAATTTTTCGCAAGAATTTTTGGTCATCGAATTTGCGCGATAAATTTAAAGAAGATTTCTCGATTAAATTTTATAAAAAAAAAAAAAAAAGGAAGAAGATTAAAAAAGAGATTTTTATATGCAAATTACCATTAGCTAGATCATCATCGTCCCAATAATTTGACACGTCATTCGTGTCAGGGATTCTCCATCTGCTATACAAGTTTCTAATAATTATATAATTTTCAAGCGATAATAATCTTCGTTCACAAATTCCTTTCACTTGAGTGAAATACGTTTTACATTTTACCACGATTATTTTGGCTTTGATAAATATCTAAGTGTCGTGCGATTTGCGATCTTCTTGGCCTCCTGCCGTATGAGGAAAGTATTTATATGTAAGTAGGCTATTCTCGATAAGGATGCTCGCGGAAATGAATCTTTCTGAAAAGATGTCTTATTGTTTTTTTTTTTTTCATGTTTTTGTTTCATTTTACGTTACGTTATATCAAATTGAATAAATCTTTCAGTGATATCTGATCGCATTTATCTTCAAAATTTATAATAATAATAATAACGGAAATAATGTTGAATTATTACTAAACAATAATTTTTATATTTTAATATATATATATATATATAAGATTGGAATGAGACATTTTTTAAAAAGATTCATTTATGTATCATAATTGAAATAGAGTTTAAAACTTACGTTTTTTTCACTTAATGACTAAATGCTCCAATTTTTATAAAACTTTCACACAGTGCTCTCGACAGTTTCTGAAAGTTGTCTAGCAGGTATCATAATTGTAACAGTTAAGTCTTTCTCTTTTATAATGCTATCACTGTTCATTTTAAAACTAATGTTTTTTTTCTTTTTTAGAAAAAGATTAATAAATTTCGTACTTTAAATCGTTGGAAATTTTATTTATATAATTAAAAAAGCGCAATGTAATTGAATCAAATAAAAGTGAATTAGAAGATAAGTTTTTTTATTTTTTTAAAAGGTGAATTTAGGTATTTTAAATTATTTTCTTTTACACTATTGCTTCCTATTTCATTCGATGTTTTCATTTTATTATATCTTTGTTTTCTTGTTCTTCTATTTCAAAAATATCATATGTACTATAATTCTTCTATCTTCGGTTAAAAAATTCTATAAAAAAGGGAGCAAATAAATTTGTAATTTATCAAGTATCACGATAAAAATATGGTTATTAATATAACGAAAAATTTCCAATTACGATACTTATACTTTTTTTTCTCAATTTCGGATGATCTATCTCTAAAGATTAAATATGTGCGTGTATAATATACACGAAGCATTCATATACAGTTGAGAAAAATTCTGAGACTCATAGCTTCATGCCAAAGTTGTTTCTATCCGGCGAATGATAAATCACTTTCCGGATACTCGTACATCTGTTTCTCTGGTTTCATATCGTATCTATCATATTGCTCGCTAAAATACCAACGTCTACGCTTCATTACAAATTCCATAACATATCGAGTGTTGAGCTTTTTGTTGCGCCTCTACGATTTATCTTCGTGTATGGTATGTGGTGTTATTATTTTAAGAAAAATTAATAAATCTGCATGCAATAAATTTGGATAGATGTGTTCTTTTTTAAAAGTAACTGTCAGATGATGCAATATTATTATTTACTTCGAATAAAGTTTGTTTTAATTACGATAAATAACGTTTAATTTATCGAAATCACAAAGAACAAGTCTACGTTAGGATTGTAATTGTAGTGAAGTGTGACGAGAATCGAAGATAGCAGCGAAATGAGCGTGGCGGTAAATTCAAATCAATGTAATATAAAATAAGCGTTTGTATTGAAGAGAATTATGAAAAAGACAAGCTTTTGTTTTTTCAGAGCTCTATTCGCTGTTTCATTATAATTTTGGGCTTAAATAGAACTGGAGAATTGAGATAAGATACTTTATTATATTGCAGCTATTGCAACAAGAGGCGACACTCTGAACGGCATCTTTGATGTTAGCTTTAGTTTAAATTGATTGTACAGACGAGCGCGATATGATTTGAAATGTGTCTCTTTGATCCATTTTAATAATTCTAATAATTAAGAATATTGTATTTGTATTGTATTTGAGTATAATAATTTATATCAATCTTATAAAAGCTGAAGAATTAAAGAATGTAATATAATCATAACAACAAATATTTATTGCAAATAAATATATGTTATAAGTAAATTAATAGAAATATTATTGATATAAATATTCGACACTTCCATAAATCCATATTATTCCGTAAGAAAAAAAAAAAATACAAGCAAATAAACTAAAAATAGTACGCGTTTCTCAAAATAATAAAGAAATGTATCTAGCCAATTTTCAATTCTCTATTCTATCGATCATTATCCGAAGCAAACTGAACTTTTTGCCGAATGGATATCCGAGTTGGTCGTATTATTTCGTCTCTTTCCAGAAGTGGTTTTTTGTCAGAATGTCGCTTCTCATATAATCCCTAGTACCCCGATAACGGTTTAACTCAGCGTTGCCCGCACGCGGTGGTATACATGGTTGGTATCGGGCATGGAGAAACGAGATACGCTTTCTACGTGCTTGTGCACGCGTATACGTACTCGAGCCAGACCGTTGGAATCGCACACGTTTAATTCATCCGTGTACATCTACGCGGCGACACGTGCACATTGCAATATTCACTGGCGCGCACCTTCGTCTCTAAGATCGCGCGCGCTGTACCCACGACTTGGCCAAACAAGTCGTAACTGGCGG